TTTTTTTTTTTTTTTTTTTTTTTTTTTTTTTTTTTATAAAACCTTTTTTATTATTATTGTCATTACTATTATTATTATGTGGCAAAATGAATGCATCACTTTTTAATAATCACAAACAATATTTTTTCCGAAACCTTTATAGAATAAAGTTAAAACCTAAAAAATGTGGAGAAATGATTTTTTACAATATAATTCAAAGAAATCATTGTTCTGTCAAAAAGATTAATAAATATTGACGAATAGATTTTTAATTTTCAATCTCTCTACTGCGGTGACGGATCATCATGAAAATCACGTGAGATTGGTCGGAAATAACCTTTAAAAGAGATATATATATATAATAATTTTGATGATAATCCGGTGAGTGACGATTCTTTGCGACACGTTTTTTTCATTAGACATTCCAATAAACCGAAAAGCCGATAATAATATTATGATAATCTTGAACCTTATTTGGTTCAATGTTTTAATTTAATGAACAATGAATTTTCTTACAATAAAACCGATATTTTCAGGTGAATAGAAAACCTGTTTATAAGAAAAATAAAAACCTGTTGGTGAAGATTTTTTTTTTTAAAGTTAAAAAAAAAAAAAATTTGGGGCAAAATTTTATTTGTTTAAGATTTACCTATAAGAACATGTAATTTAATTGGTTGAAAAAATTTTAAAATTTTAAAATATTTTTATAAAATATTAATAAATAATTATGAATATTAAAAAAATATTATGTAAAATTTTATTGTAATACCAAGTTTTCTCCTAAAGATGTATTCTTTTATAAAATCATACAAGTATTTTTCATGTATTTTTTTGAAGTATTTTTGACAGATTTTTTATTAATACAAATTAGAAATTTTGCATTGTTGTCAATAATTTTTTTTTGACAAATAAAACGGAAAAAAAAATTAAGTAAACTTTTTTAGATTATATAATAAAAAGATTTTCCGACATGCTCGAGGGAAAAATTTAAATATAACAATTGTTCTTTTTGTGGTAATATTTTATAGTTATGCACCCCAACATGTCATTATCTCCGTTCATTGTTAAATTTCCCACCTTTTACTTATTTTTGTATTGGATTATTATTAAAAGGTATTTTTATTCGATAATAAAATTTTTCTATTAACCAGATTTTGACCTTTTAAGAAGATGCATTCGAAATGCATGAAATGAACGCCCAATTGCTTTTACATTTTATACAATATTGAAGTTATATATATCATAATAATAGTTTTTTTTTTTTCTCTTCCTGTTACAAAAGAATTAATTTGGGTTTTATTACTCTGAAAAGAAGGTATACGAGAATGATTGACTCTCTCCAATTGTAACATTTCGAAATTACCAAAAATAATCCTCATATTAGAAGTGATACAAATTTACTAATGAAATTATGATGGTGTCACCTTGATTTCTCTTGAAAATTTTTATATTGTCCTTTTTTTTTTTTTTTTTTT